GCGGCCTAAATAAAGGACTTTAGAGTAGTGCTTCTCAAACTATTTGTGGGGAACGATTAGTTCAAACATGAAGTCAACTGGTCACATGCTTACATGTTGGGACAAGGCTATACATTGCTATAAAAATTTCTATGCTTTCTTTCAAATCCAGTCTTTATCTCATTGCAGACCAGCAATGAGCAGTGTTTAGCTGGCCGTGGTCCACGGACCACACTTTGAGGAGCACTGCTTTAGAGGCCCGGCAGAATTACATTTTGGTACAGTGTTTGTCCAGAAAAATAGTATCAGCCTACAGCAGTGTGCCTGAATCTTTGCTCTTGTAGACCAAAAAAAAAAAAAAAAAAAAAAAAGGAAGGTGTATTAGTCTGGGTTCTCCAGAGAAACATAGATTTATTATAAGGAATTGGCTCACACAGTTAGGGAGGCTGAGGGGTCCCATGATCTGCAGCTGGCAAGCTGGAGACCCAGGAGAGCCAATGGCCTCAGCTCCAGGCTGAGTGCGGGTCCCAAGGCGGGAGAAGATGGTGTCTCAGCTTCGCAGTTAGGCAGAGAGAAGGATTTCTCCCTCTGCTTCTTTGTTCTCTTCAGACCTCCCGCAGATTGGATGAGGCCCATCCACTTTGGGGAGGGCACTGTGCTTTCCTGAGGCTACTGAATCAAATGTGAATCTCACATTTGTTCAGAAACACTCTCACGGACACACCCAGAATAATGTTTAAGCAAATACGTGGGCACCCTGTGGCCCAGTCGAGCTGACATGGAAAATTAACCATCTCGGAAGGGCATCAAGTAAATGTGAGTGGGGGGTCTTCCGTTTATTACTCTGCCAGGAAACATGCCAGTTCCTTGACCCTAAAAACACAGGAGCCACCCCTTTCATTATTTATTTGTTTGATCATTTGTGTATTAACTTAAATGTTATTTCTAGTATAGTTAACATATAGTGTCCTTTGGTTTCAGGTGTACAACATAGTGATTCAACAACCCTACGCATTACTCAGTGCTCATTGAGATAAGTGTGCTCTTGGGGCGTCTGGGGGGCTCAGTCGGTTAAGGGTCTGACTCCTGGTTTCAGCTCAAGTCATGATCTCAGGATTGAGCCCCGTGTCGGGCTCAGTGTGGAGCCTGCCCAAGATTCTTCTCCCTCTGCCCCTTCTACTCCCACCCCCCACCTGCCTCATTCTTTCTCTCTCTCTCAAAAAAGAAATTAAATTAAAAAAAGATAAGTGTACTCTTTTTTTTTTAAAGATTTTATTTATTTATTTGACAGAGAGAGACACAGCGAGAGAGGGAACACAAGCAGGGGGAGTGGGAGAGGGAGAAGCAGGCTTCCCGCTGAGCAGGGAGCCCGATGCGGGGCTCGATCCCAGGACCCTGGGATCATGACCTGAGCCGAAGGCAGACGCTTAACCGACTGAGCCACCCAGGCGCCCCTAAATAAATAAGATCTTAAAAATAAAAAGTAACCCAGTGTGTTTTATCTTCAACCCAACGAATCCATGGCCTCTTTGCCCTGCATCCTGCTTCATATAATCTTTAGCAAATATTACTGATGGTATTGTTGAGAGTATGTCTGGCATTAAATCTAGTGCTTTCTATAAGTTATCTCATTTCATATTTACAAAAATACTGTTCAATGTGTATCAGAATTTTTGAAGAGGAGAAAAGTGTTGCTGACAGAGGTTAAGTAACTTACCCACATTGGCTAATAAGGGTAAGAGCTAGAATTTCAGTCTAACACCGGGTTTGACCAGAAAGTTCCGATTCTTTACCATGAAACTGCACTGCCTTACAGAAAATACAGGAAAAAAAAATGTTCACATGATAAACAATCGTAAATAATATCTCTCAATGAGTAAAATTGCCTTTGGGGAAAAAAATGTATTTTGTTCATTTTCCTCCCTAGAAGGACCCATCTTTGAGTTTCAGTTCGGGATCATGTTTATCTTTGCCGATGAACTTGTGTGTGTTTCCTTTCCGTAGCCGAAGAGAGAATCTTAAAGCTTGGGTTTCCCCAGGTGGCTTGGAGTGAAATTCAGCCCTTAATTGCAGTGGCTGTTTTTAGCTTACTTGGGATGATGTTCTTCCCTTTCTTGAACATGACTTCATTTATCCATGAGTATGGTTCGCTTGCCTGTTTCCTTTCCCACTAGACGTGGAGTGTTTTGGGTGCAGACTGAATGCACTGAATGCGTCCCTAATTTTGTAAGCTGCCTTTTCCAGAAGCAAATTATGTTGGTATGTCAAGGGGTTTCAGTTGTGGCCAGTTTTCTCTGCAAAGTACTCGACATTTATCCTGTGGCTGAACTAGGTTGTGGTTTGGATATGTTCGATCCAGTGTAACCTTGTTACTGTGGCTGTACAAATTTGTGTGGCACCTCCAGAGCATCAGACAACCAGGTGAAAGCTTGATAATTGGAAGATGTTGATAAAATTCGAGGAGAAACTAGAATGATGAGCCACGACCAGGGAAAGGGACGCTTTCTGCACGTGTGCTGACCTCAGCGGGCCTTCTCCCCAGGTGGTGAAATTAGTGTCTTCCCATGTTTATTAGGACTGAAACATTGTTTAAAAGAACAGCTGATGAGGCCGACCGGTCCAATGGCCGATGCTGGGAGGGAAGCTGAAGCCACACAGGAAGCATTTGCCAGTGTTGTGAAATAAACACAGCCCAGGGCCCCCCAAATCAGGATCAGCCCCAGGAAAAGGGAGGGTGGTCCTAATTCATACATCTGATTCTCACTTTTAAACAATGTTTGGCCTGAAAATGAAGTTGGTGAAAAGAGGAGATGGTAATTGAAGCGTTTGTCCAGAAAAAGATTCTTGTATTTTATGTGTAAAGATAGATGCAGCCGGGGGAGGGTAAGTCTGACTTATAATCAGCTGAAGATATTCCCCATATAATTGGCCAGTGCAGTCGTACTTCGTAACTAGCATCCTGCCGTCTGTGATGGGCCTATGGATGTCCGTTTTGTTCGCCGGGGAGGAGTAAGGGTGGTTTGGAGCCTGTTGCTGGCTCTTGCCTCAGCCATGTGTCTGTTTTACTTTTTGGGGCCCAGAACATTCATGAGAGATGTCCCAGTTGTTATGATGAGTGAAAAGTACCTTTGATAGAAATAGAGAAATCAGGAAGTGTGGCCTATTTTTTAGGAAGATAATTAATTCATTTTTAGACATCTTGAGTTTGAAATGAGAGTTTGACATCCGGTGGAAATGTCTGGTGCTTAGCTGAGGCTGCTTCATCGAAATAGCACTCAGGAGGCTTGTGTTCTAGACCTGATTTCTCTACTAACCAGCTTTGTGTTCTGGATCAAGCCCTGTAAATTTTAGGAGTCTCGTTCATTGGTTTGTAAGTCAGCAGCTCTCAGCCCCAAGTAGGGACATGCTGGTGTGCACTCTAGGTTAGAGGGAGAGAGGGCAGGCAGGGTCCTGCAGGGCTTGTCACTCAGTGGTGTCCCAGGGAAAAGAAGGCAGGGGCCCCCCCCCCCATGCCCACCCCCGATGCCTATCGGTTCCAACATCCCGCGATTAGGACAGTTGCTATCATGAGTGTGGCTTGAGGGACAGCAAGGTTTGGGTGTCCTGAATGGTCATCCTCGGAGACTGGCTGTCTTCCTGTAATTTACACCTTGTAACTCAGCCCTTCAGTGCCTGGAGGGGCCATTGGGGCTGCCCCCACTTACCGAACAGATGCAAACTTTCTAAGAAACAGCACTCTACAAGTGACTTATGTGGAGAATGAGGGGTGTGTGGGGAGAGAGCTCAGGGGTTGTTTCTCTCCCACAGAACCCTAGCAGGGAGGCCTCTGGCTTGAATGCCCCCAGTGGCGGGGAGATTACCCCTTCCGGTGCCGCCCGGTTCACCTTCCTGGAGCTCTGTTAAGAGGTTTTCTCTACCCACAGCCTGTAATTGACTCCCCATACTTCCTACCTATTCCCTAATTCCACTCCAAGGTTGATCAGTCCTCTTAGCCCCCTTTCCAGATAGGGAAGCAGAACATGCTTCCTGACATGCTCAGCAGCTCACTCACTGTCACAGAGAGTCATGTTCTCTCTGCTGTGGAGGAGCCCACCGTTTTAACTGCCTCGTCTTTGTCTCTGCTGCGCTTGCTCTTTCTATCTCCTTACCGACTCTTTCCTCCCTTTTCCCTTAGCCTGCATCACACTGTGGGCCGGCGTCTGGACGGAGGAGCTTTGCCTGGAGGGTTTGTTGGTCTGGTCTCAGGGATGCTTTGATTCCCTGTGAGATTGCTGGGAGTTGCTTTGTCCTGGGACAGGTGGGGTGCCGCTCACCTTTACAGCAGGGCGGGTGGTATGAGTGGTATCTCAGAGGCATGTGCTCATGAGCCGGCCCAGCTAGCTGGTGTCTGCATCCCAGTCAGGCATGGGGCCTGCTTCTCCGAGGTGCGGAAGGCGGTACAAGTATTAACTTAGGGCCTGCCATTTCCTACCTGATTCAAGTGCTGTGTGAGTGGGTCATCAGCTTTACCCGGGAAAAGTGGAACACTTGGATCTCCGCTGGGTCACAGCTAAGATGCCCAGTAGTCCCCGGGGAGCCCACCATTTCTGGGGTGTGCATTCCTGATGAGTACTGAGAAAAGAGTTTGTCGGGCCTGGGAAAGGAGCAGAAAGGATGCCTTTTTGCATGGAGCGACTTGCTGATGACCTGGGTGGATACGGGGTCCTGGGATCGAGCCCCACATCGGGCTCCCTGCTCAGTGGGAGGGAGGGAGATTTCAAGATTCACAGCTGCAAGATTCACGACTGAGTGGGTAAAATGAAGTCGGGTGTAAACCGAAGAAAGCGATAGAACTTGAGAGCATTTGGGGCCTGTTCAGACCATGAGGACCCTGGCATTTTCTGACTTTCCCTCTAGAAATGTGATTGTTACATTAAAAGTGACACTGGCCATCTGGGAACCAAGGTGGCCCTCTCCGGAAGGACAGAAGGAATGAATGATGATGTCTTTTCTCTCCCCACTCCCGCTTGTCTTGCGAACAGGGAAAAGATGCCTTTCCACCACGTGACCGCTGGCTTGTTGTACAAGGGGAATTACCTGAACCGATCCCTGTCTGCCGGCAGTGACAGTGAGCAGCTTGCTAACATCTCCGTGGAGGAGCTAGACGGTAAGGGGCCCGCCCCGTCTGGGAGGTTAGCCACCCCACGGAGGCGTTTGAGGCTGTTGTGCCTCTGAGGTGAACGCACCAGGCTCTGGCCACCCGCCCGTTGTGGCCAAGTCTAACCATGGTGTGACGGGAAAGAGCTCAGGGACAGGTTCCGCGTGAATGACGTCTTCGTGCGGGAACGAGCCAGTAGCCTGCTGGTGAAATCTCTGGTGAAAGCTTTGGTTTCTTTGTAGACTGACCTTGGGGCTGGCCTTCGACTACCAAAATGTGTTTTCTAGTTTATGGAATCTTTATCACCCGTGGCGTTGTCATGTTTCCACATTGTCATTTCTGTGGGGCCCAGCTGTAGGGGAGGCGAGGGCTGGAAAGCCCCGCTCTTGACCTGGGGCCGTGGTGCTTTGAATCCTGCCCAGATCAGAATCATCTGGAAGCCGCGTCTAGGTGGGAATGGACAGCAATTATTTTAATTGCCTCTGTTCCTTTGTAACACAGTGTAGCCGTGGGTGTTCAGGGCAGGGTTAGGGATGAGAACAAACCTGGGCACACCATGGCTGTATTCATCCTGGGACAGTGCCCTGTTGTATCCTCATTGGTCAGCTAAGCGCCTGATTAAATAACCACATTAAAACGAGGAAGAAGGAATTTATTTCTTCTAGAACAGAGAATTAGGTTGATCCAGCCAGATGTTTGCCTAGGTGCCCCATCTGCTGAGGCCGAGCCAGAATCCGTTTTCCCTAGTATTCTGGAATGTTATGCTCCTTGTAACAGAATTTAATTTAATTTAATTTAATTAATTTATTTTTTAAAAAGATTTTATTTATATATTTGACAGAGAGAGAAACAGCGAGAGAGGGAACACAAGCAGGGGGGGAGGGGGGGAGAGGGAGAGGGAGAAGCAGGCTTCCCACGGAGCAGGGAGCCCGATGGAGGGCTCGATCCCAGGACCCCAGGACCATGAACCGAGCCGAAGGCAGACGCCTAACAACTGAGCCACCCAGGCGCCCCCTCCTTGTAACACCGTTCTAACACATGAAGTCGAAATTTGCTTTCAACAATAGAGAAGTCAGAATTACCCCAGACGGCCCACATATTCGCTTTTAAGTGGAACGGTCTGACCAGCATGCTGTGTCTGTGCACAGATGGGAGCCTCACGGCCGTTACTCACAAGAAGAAGGTGGGGAAATTCAGCTCTGGGCCAACGAAGCCACACTTGCTTCCGAGTTGGCAGGAGTTGAGGGAAGTGGAGGATGGGGTCGTCTGATAGCTTTTCCGGCTCTTGTCCGGTTTGATTGCTTGCTTATCTGAAAGACTGGCTTGTTTACACGAGCCAACGGTAGAGCCACAGAGGGTGCTGGGCGAGGTCTGCAGGGGAGGCCGGGGGTGTTATAGGAAGCAGGAGTGGTGTGGCGGAGCCTGGCTCCTCAGGGCCAGCAGGTCCTCACTGCAGTCTAGACAGAGGCTGGTGGCAGGAGAGGAGAGCTGGACCGTCGGATCTCCTGGCCTTCTGTTGGCCAGAGGACATTCAGACGCAGGATGCAGAAGGAGGCCGTAGAGCCCTGACTGCCTCCAAAGTGAGGTGACCAGAAGGAAGGCCAAAGCTCTGCTGGCGTGTTTGGCGGGGCCCCAGGCTCCCAGCACCCTGGGGAGTCCACTCCCCGGAGACATCAGGGAAGTGGTGCATTGATTTGGGGGTGGGTTTGCACTTGTGTTTTCGTTGAGTAGGTCGGTCCCTGGGCTCCGTCATCGGCAGGAGGGACTGAAGGCCTCGCTGAGCAGAGGCCATGAGGACGGGGCAGGAAGTCCCTAGTTTAGGATAACTCTCAAAGAGGCTGACATTACTAACCAACGGAAGTTTGGGGATCACCTGTGGCTTTCACAGACCCTGGCTCTCCCTTTCCCTCCCTCCTCCTCAACTTCGCCATGAATAATCAAGAGATGATTTCTCCTCAGGTCGTCGGCTTTTTTCTCTGTGAAATCTGGGCCACTGCCAGGGCACGCAGCTTTTCAAGAGGACTGCGGGCTGGATTTTGTCCCCCCCAGGGTGCCCGGCAGAACCACCTTCCGTGTACTTGGGCGAGCAGCCAAGCTCAGGAGCATGTTTCGCTCAGGCAGCTGAGCCAGGCTGAAAGGTGTCTTCTCAGCAGGCGAGAAGAGCAGGGAGAGATTCCAACAGCCTTCAAGCCTAGGTGGGCAGGCTTAGCAGTGGGGGGCCTGCAGGGTCACTGATGGAGTCCAGCCAGACTTTATGGCCTGAGGTCTGAAGCCGGCTGCTGAAGACACTGTGTTTGTCCTTCAGGAGGGTAATCCAGGCTCTCAGCTTGGAGAAGGGCCATTTATTTTCTGATGGAAGATTCCTTCTACTTATTTACTTTTGGCCAAGGTGAACCCTGAGTTATGACTGCTCATGCTTTATGATGAGTATCTTGGGGCCTGGGCAGGGCTGTGCAGATGTGCGCTGAGTTTAGAGCAAGCAGGAGGGTCTGAAAACCAACCACAGGTTGGTTCTTGGGGAAGGCAAGTTTCCAAGGATTTGCCTGCTTGCTGTTCTCTAGGACAAGCTGAGCCCTAAAGTCCTCCCACTCGGGGCCACTCATTTATCCTCAGAGGACACATGGTGTGGTACAGTGAGTGGATGTTTTGGACACTGGTGGACATCAAAGCATCCTTTGTTATCCATTTGTTGGGTACCATCTTCCCTTACCACACCCCCTTCCCTACCCCACTGAGGCTGCAGCCCCCTGCTTAGGGATGGCCACGGGGACAGGTCCCCCCGCGCCCAGGGATAAATGCCCCTTTCCTTCCGTGTAAAGGCCAAACTTGCCCAGTCCATGAGTGGTTACCCTCCCAGAACAGGCGTGAAAAGAGCCACTCACCATGCAGGCCTTTTCCGGCTGACATTTACTCTGGGAAGTTTCTATTTCTTCTCTTTAAACAAAGCTCAGGAGGAAATTATGCAAAAAGCCACATTGAGTTGACCCGATTAGAGTCAGAAATCACCTAACAAATAAACTCAGCAATGATGAATTGATCGCGACAGTTCATTCATTCATTCATTCATTCATATTTATTCATTTGTCCATTCCTGTTTATTCATTCATTATAGGAATGTTTACCCAAATGCTTTCTGGGTACTGGAGGAAATCAAAGAAGCATAATATTCACTGCCTGTTCCCCAAGGAATTTGCAATCTTCCCAGCGAATTTCTGTATATACAACATTTATTAGCAGTATCTTGTACTTAAAGAGTGTATCATGTGGAATTTTACCAGACATGCGAGTTATAATTTTGTAAAAGCCGTTTTCTTAATGCTCTCTATTGAATAATCTTGTGATATTATTGTAATCTTTAAATTTGCATCCATCTGAAGTTCATTCATATACAGTGTGAATATCCACTGGATGTCAATATACTTCAGTTTCTGCACTCATTCCATCTAGGATGGATATTTGGGTTTCCAGTTTGGGGCTGTTAGGATATAATGTAGTCATCCCCCTTCTGTTATGTCTACGATGTTAGGGTCCACTGTCCTCACAGTACCCTCACGGCCACTGTGAAATGTCAGAGTGTGGGTATTTCATGCCTTCCCTGCTAATCCTAGATCTTCCTTCTTTGTTTTCTGCATTATATGTCTCTTCTCACATTGTTCTCTGCACTCTGCATTCATTCTCGGGTCTGTCTTCTACATCAGTGATTTACTAGATCTATAGTCATTTTAACTTTCTTTTTTTATTACTACCTTTAGAGCATATTTTCATTATGGATGAAAGTTTCAGTTTCTTTGAAGCCTGGTTTTATTTCAGTAGTCTTCCTTCCTTTTTAAAACACTTTTTGGTCAAAATAGAATAAAGAAAAGTATTAATGCACAATTACAATTATGTTCTTGAACGTGAACACTCATGCAACCGCCACCCAGGTTAAGGACTATAGTATTACCAGCGCCCCGAAGCACCCCAGGGTCCTTCCAAATGCCTCTTCCTCAAATACAACCACCACCCTGGCTTTTTATCGTTGTTTCGTGGTGTTTGTGTTTCCCTTCAGCTTGGGGGGGGGTGTCACGCCATATCTATTCTTTTGTTCCTAGCCTTTCTTCCTTAACATATTTGCGAGACTCAGCCATGTTTTTGAGGGTAGCTGAAGTTGATTCATTTTCATTAATAGATAGTATCCCATCATATATAAATACGCCACCATTCATTTATCTGTTCTATTCTCAGTGGGTATTTAGGTTGTTCTCAGTTTGTAGCTATTAGGATATAATGTCACCATCCCTCTCTGCTGCTGCTGTAGTCTTAGGATGTGTTTTCCTCATGGCTCTGTCTTCCTGCTTTACTGGGGCCATATTTTTTTTATTCTCTCTCAACTCTTTGTCTTACTGAGGACAACTTGGACACAGTTTATGAGAATCTCTTCTGTTTCTTGTCATAATGTGTGTAGATATACACATACATATATAAAAAGCCTTTTCCCCCAAGTCTTCCAGCTGATGCTACCTTTATTTTGCATTAGAAAAATATTTTCGATATGGTCCTTTTTGCTTTTTTCTGCTCTGCTTTGTGACTCGATAAAGTTCTTTGTGGGCCCAGAATCTGTGAGCAAACAGGGTTTGTTAAGAATCTTTAGCCTTCTTTGTTCTATTTTTGCTTTATCTCGGACTTGCGATAATTTTCCCCTTGTCAGCCCCAGCTGGAGAGTCTGGTTTCTAGAAGACACTCATCTAGTCCGTGGCTGCTGGGTGGATGTGGGATCTTGATTGCCCCTACTGTTGGGTTTGCTTCCTATGCCACAGAACTCTGTCACTCCTTTGTTTTTCCCTTCCCTTGCTCTTCTCCTGTTCTCAAACTAGTATCCGGCATTCAGTGACCCACGTACACCCTGGTTCTCATCTTGCTCAGAAATAATCCAGGATGGGACACAGCAACCCATGGCTCTAGTTGCTCCCAGAGAGTAGGGTTCCCTAAATGGGCTTAGAAAAAGGATGCTGCTGGGCTGGGTTTGGATT